ATATGGTTTGGTGCCAGTTAAAGTTTCCACTAAGTTTACTTCAGCCTTAGAAAAAGAACAGAACTGTCTCAATCAAACAGCAAGTGGAAATCTCAGGAACTAATTATTCTCCATAGTCAATTATCAAGAGACAAACTTCCAGAAGCAACATATAAAAATGGCTTTAATCACTTCCTCAAAGTGATTTCCAAACTCTTCTGCCTATCCAAACCTCATTATTTACTACAGAGTATAATAAAAGAAAAAAAAATCCTGCCAACAAGAACAATAAGCTTTTTTTAAAGCCTATTGGATGAGACAGCTGAACAACAAGGCCAATTGAAGAGCATCATTCTATCTATCTATCAGCTGTGGTGCCCTAAAGAACCAAATTTCATTTATCAGGCCTCGCACTTGTAAAATATTTCCAAGGGAAAGTGAAGGAGAGAAATGACTTGGTAAAAAAGGCAGGGAGAGAGATATAGAGAATGTGTCCAGGCACCACAAAGCTAATTTTAATTTAGCAATAAGATACTGGTAAAAATCAAATGATTCATACCCCAACCCCCATGCTCTTCAGTGGCCTCAAATAATCTGGGATGTCTTGTCTAGCAATTGATAATCCTAGTTAATTAGCCAATGTGACTTTACTTTTAAGAGCCAAATCAGAAGAAACCGTTAGTGCACCAGCTTATGCAAACTGGGGAAAATGGCATGTGATTACCTTTACAGCTAAGAGAAAGCTAGTATGCTCTAATGCCTACATTATATCTTGTTCCAAGCCACCACAAAAATCACAGTAATAAAGGTGGCAAACTATAGGAGAAAAGCAGGCAGAGCTGGGAGGCAGAGTTAAAAAAGTCATCAGCCTAGAGTCGTTACATTCTCACAAACAGTCTGTCCAATCCCTCTTGAATTCTATTGACCCATATTTGGCACCAATTCAGATTTGAACCTTAGATGATTAGACCCTTGTGTATAGGCATGAGTGATAAATATACTGAACTGCAACCTGATTCTTTGCTGGTGACACAAATAAACCTATAAACCCAAATTACAGAAATGGTGAAAACAGATCAGAGAAAAGGGAGGGAGGGAGGGAGAGAGGGAGAGAGAGAGAGAGAGAGAGAGAAGATGCCACATACTGCCAATAGACTGCACTAAACATCTTATCTGCAACATATGGGTTGAATATGCCAGAAAGTGCAATATGTGGACTCAGGGCCACAGGCAGCCTCCATATTTCCTTTTCATGGCCTTCTGAATTTAACCATCATTGCTGAAAACTGTTGATCCAAGTTGCAGTGGTGGGAAATACATGAAAATTTTAATAGAAGCCCTGTGCAGGTAGTCCTTGACTTATCACCACAACTGGAACTAGAGCTTCCACCCCTCTTTCAAAGAGGCCATCTATGTCAAAATTAAACAGCCCTCTCTCAACCGAGGTGGAGGGATACAACATCATCTATCTCCAGTCTACAATACAGTCCTTTCAACAGTTCCAAGAAGGCTCCACACACATTTGCACCACTCAGGTGACCCTGAGGACACAGATAAGTCTCCAGGTAGCATTAACGACTCTTTAAAAGAATGCAAATGAACAGCTGTCTGCAAGGAGTATAAATCTTTCCATTCCCCACCATCCAATCAGAGCTGAAGAAGCTTCTTGGATGGAAAGCGAAACATCTTCAAAGAAAAAACAAGTAAGTCCAGTTACCTCGTGAAAATGACTGAAAGTCTCTATAGACATCTACCTGGAGAGAAGTAAGCAGTGGGGTACCACAAGGCTCTGTCTTAGGCCCAGTACTCTTCAATATCTTCATTAATGACTTAGATAAGGGAATATAAAGGGATCAAATTTGCAGATGACACTAAACTGGCAGGAATAGCCAACACCTCAGAAAACAAGCTCAGGATCCAAAAAGATCTTGACGAACAATGGGCCCTATCCAACAAAATGAATTTTAATGTGGAGAAAAGCAAAGTTTTACATTTAGGCAGGAAAAATCAAAGATATAAGTACAGATTAGGCAAGACCTGGCTCAAAAACAATAACTATGAGAGGGACCTTGTAGTCCTGGTGGATGATCATTTGAATATGAGCCAGCAGTGTGCAGCAGCAGACAAAGAAGGTAATACAATTCTGGGCTGTATAAACAGAGGCATAACATCAAGATCACACAAAATATTAGTACTGCTTTATAAAACCGTAGTAAGACCACACCTGGAATACTGCAACCAATTTTGGTCACCATACTACAAAACAGATGTTGAAACTTTGGAAAAAGTTCAGAGAAGAGCAACTAAAATGATCAAAGGCCCGGAGACTAAAACATATGAAGAACAGCTTCAGGACTGGGGTTTGGCTAATCTAAAGAAAAGAAGAAATAGGGGCGACATGATAGCAGCATTCTAGTACTTGAGGGCTGCCACAAAGAAGAGGGGGTCAAATTATTCTCCAAAGCATCAGAGAATGACACATATTTTGACAAACCCATCATAAAAGGTGGTCACATGACTATGGGATGCTGCAAATGGACATAAACGTGACTGTGTTGCTGAGCAGCTGAAGTGCAATCGTGTGACTGTGGGCGAGATGGGGAAAAACTGTCAGAACATTGAGAACTACTTTTTTCCAGATAGGTCATAGATTTGAATGGTCGCTAAGCAACCAGGTGTAGCAATAGCAATATCACTTAGACTTATATACCACTTCACAGTGCTTTACAGCCCTCTCTAAGCAATTTACAGAGTCAGCTTATTGCCCCCAACAATCTGGGTCCTCATTTTACCGACCTCAGAAGGATGGAAGGCTGAGTCAATCTGGAGCTGATGAGAATCAAACTGCCAAACTGCAGGCAGATGGCAGTCAGAGAAGTAGCCTGCAGTACTGCATTCTAACCACTGCGCCACCATGGCTCAGGTAAGTTGAGAACTATCTGTATATTGACAGCATACCTATATCACATAAATATTAATACAACTTAAAATGTGCTTTCCAATTTCCAAAGCAAAATTTAGTACGTTTTAAGGAGCTAACTAGTTCCTTAAAAATATAGCTTCATAATTATACAAAGGATGTCTATGAACAAATAAAATGGTTTTTTTTTTACTAAATAAAACTACTGAGAACAGGTTTGGGAACAAAACGGTTTACACCACACATGTTTAGAAAGAAAACTGCTAAGACCCACGTTATGTAGTTCTTGACACATTTTTTTTTTGAATATATGACTAGATGCTACCAACAGACCCCGAACTAATCCATATAATTTCTAGTTAAAAACAAATATTAAAACATCTTTTCAGTTTTAAGGAAAAAACAAATCTGAACTGCCATACCTTTGCTATTTCTTCCTGAGCAGCTACTAAATTCAAGTAAGATATATTGACCAGGTCAGGGCCATGCACAATTGTAAGCATTCGATTTTCCAGTCGTCCTCCTGCATTTCCTGTATCCAGGTGTTCGCGTAGTTTTGGATCCTGAAAGTAAAAAAAACAGCAAAATATTAAATATTTATTTTCTGAAATTCGATTTTGAAGTAGAGCTAAAAGTTGTATTGTAAACAACTAAATTTCCAGATGAAACCATCCCATATGGGATGCTCTTACTACATAGTCATAATATCCTGTATTCTAAGCCACATCCTGGGCACATATATTTCCTAGTTGTGGGATGTAAGGAGCAGTATGATAGCTTGCAATGTATCTTTAGGTTAGAGATTCCAGGTTGCATAAAACAGTGTGAGCATGCTTGTGGTAAAATTGGGCTGTTGCCCTTGTGATATGCTGGCCATAATGTGCCAAAACTGATCCTCACTACTAGAAAGAAATGATCTACCTTTTCTCTGTCTTCATCATATGAAAATCTCAGTTGCCAAAAGCCATGATGGGTCCATTATTCATGGTTACAACATGGCAGATGAAATCTTAGCATGTAAGAGGAGCACATCGAAACAAAATGAACTGAAATGAAGAAAAGGAGGCTGCATATTTGCGAAACCAAGACAGAGAGGAAGGGATGGAAGAACTTTGAATAAAGATGGCCTGATCTGAAAAAAATGCAGTTCATGAGGTGGTGAAAGTTTAGGTTGAAGTATGGGTGAAAAGGATCTCATGTCAGAAAGTCTAAACTAATGGTATCTAGATTGTTATATAGAAGATACGTTTGGAAATAGTTTATTGTTGGAGATGGCTCATGGTACGCTCCAGCGAATGTAAATTATGAAGAATTTGCAGTGAGATTTGCTGCAGAAAATTGTGCAGTATTCAGGCTGCCTATGATTTAGGAGAAAAACCTATTCTGTTATTCTGTTAACTGACCTGAATGAATGCATGGTGGGAATGAGAGAAGTGAATAAAAAAAATAATGGACCATTTAGAAAATGGTCCCATTATTAAACTGCTTTCACTAATGGAAGAATTTCCTAAAATGCAATCACAGCCTGCTTTCTTGCAACTTAAATCCATTATTCCCTGTCCTTTTGTATTAAGTCTCTGCCTAAAGCCAGGGCTTTTTTTTGTCATAGAACGCCCAGAACGGAGTTCCAGCACCTTTTTTGGATGGAACCTTGTAGGGTAGGCAAGGCGGGTTGTATGACGTGTGTGAGTTCCGGCACCTTTTTTATATATATACGTAAAAAAAGCACTGCCTAAAACCAAAAGTTATTCCTTTTCCAAGTATAATTTCCTGAGAATCTAGGAAGCAAGATTTTTTTTAAAGAAAAAAGGGATGAGATTACAAGATTTCCAGCAGTTGAATTAGTTCTTACTGATAACCAAGAAGCTCCTGGTGGTTGTTTATAAAGCCATTTTCTGAATATTTATCACTCTGGGAATTTATCATTATATCTCAAATGACAGAGAACAGGTCTTAGCTTTCTTCTGTGTGACATCATTTGAAGTGGATGAAGGGGACCATCATAATTCTTCAGTTTATTTCCCCATTAGAAATGTATAGCATCTTCTAGTAGCACCCAGACATCACTGAAAAAAATGTATCAATATTTATAATGGGCTCTGATTATTAGATAATAAAGTGGAATTATAAAGTATACACCTATTGATGCAAATTAAAATTAGTTCTATATCTTCTTCAGCCTTATTACATTGTTGAGTAATTGTTGTGAGCAATCACTTTTCCAATATCTTCCACACTATTATCGAGCTAAGTACCCACCCACCCACATTATACCAGCACATGTGATTTTTGTTTTCCAAATGCAGTTATTTTATGCTAATTTCCAATCAATTATTTTCAATCCATGTCTCTAATCTACTAAGGTAATGAATATTAAAGACATAAACAATATTTGATTATCACATCCAATTTTGTGCCATTTGCAAATCTAAATTATCAGAGCTAGCTTTAAAGTTTCTACATCCCCACTCCAGTTGGATGAGGAATTGTTGAAGAATTCTCTTTTGAATGTAATTTGAGCTGCCTCGGTGTCTTCTTCCTTTTCATGCATCCTAGCTTACATTTTAGAAGCTTCCAAATCAGAAAAACCACACATTATTTTCTAAATGTTTACAGCATTTTTACAGTTGTGATAGTTGATTTTTTAAAAAAGAAGATATTGTTAGTTTCGCAAGATTTGTTCTTGGGAAATCTATGCTGAGTTCTGGTAATTGCTACATTTTTTTCCAAACTGGTTTCAGAAGGATGCTTTTATTGTTGTTTTAGAATTTTCCGGACTGTTCTGTGGTTCGCTGAATCCTCTTTCTGTCCTCTTTTTGAAGATGGGGAAACATTTGTCAAGCGCTAGGGAAATCAGGAGATTCAGGCAGTTCAAATGAGTGTAAAGATTTATTGCAAGCTTAATAAACTCTCTACAAAATCTGAATTACTAATGGTCAAGGGAAATGGGTGGCAATAAGAAGGCATTCAAGGTAGGCTCAGCTTAGATCTCTTGTGGGTGCACAGGGACTCGTGATTTATGATGCATTTGACTCCTCCCTCAGGCTCAGCCTGGTCATTTTCTACATTGTCCTCTGGCATTTGATCTTTTCTGTATTTCCTCCCAGGTAATTTACAGTATCTTCTAGCATCACCCAGACTTTCCTGAGAGATCTATCAATACTTATATGGTGAGGTCTGATTAACAGATAATAAAGTGGAATTATAAAGTATACTTCTCAAACATTTCTCCAATTTAATTTATAAAGTTCATCTGGATCATAACTGAACTGCTTCAAATTAATCTTGCCTTGGAGAGTTCCTGATGGTGGAAACCATGCATCCTTAGCGGTAGGGTCATCATCTTTATGGAGTTCCCTTTCATGGGAAGTTTATTTAGTATCCTCAATATATATTTTTAAAAAACTTTTAAAACTGGTTGCCTGCATTTGCTTTCATCTGATTAATTTGAGTTGCCCTTTTAAAATGGCCTTTTCATCAATCATTAGTATTGCCATTATTTTGATGGTTGGCTTTCGAGATAGATTGAGGTTAATTTTGTATTAAATTTGCAGTTTCATTGTTTTTAGTGTATAAATCAGTTTGGCAGGGCTGCACACATGTTTATAAGCAAACTAACCAGCTCTTCCTGGCAACCAAGACTTTGATCCCCCTAAAACGTCATCTGAAATAACCACTCTTTCAATAGTAAAAGGAATAAATATCATTTCCATCAATCATATCAGCCAGAATTCTAGGAGAAGTCATAACTCTTGTGATTTGCAAAACTGGTTTTTTGAAACTGAGCTCTCCTTAACTTATCCCATATAATCTTCTGAAGTTATAAAATACCCTGACCGTTGGCCGAAGTCAGCCTTATTTGGTGTCAGCCATGATGATTAATAAACCAATTGCCTTGATCTGACAAGATAAGAAGCAAAGCAAAGGGCCAGTTTATTAAAAGCTCAAGCAGGATTTATTTTTACATACATTTGTTGTCACCAAGCCAGGCAAAGATTTCTTTCAAGTGCAATGAAAAGCCCTTTCCTATTAACCTTGACAAAATGTCGGTACTACTTTTTTTAAAAAAAAAAAAAAAAAAAAGGGGGGGGGGCAAAGAGACTTCTACACAACATTTCCTCTCAATTATTTAGAAATTATTATGGTTCTCTTGATCCTGGTTTGACTTGACTCCCATTTCGATGCTTTAGCATTTTCCAGTCAGAAATTGCAAAGTGTCAAAAAGGGGCAAAACCACTCTTGAAGATGATCCTACAGATACCATATTATTAACCCACACTGAAAAATATGCACGACAAAATTATCACTCATGAATACACATTTCTGAGTGGAGTTGTTACCCATGGGATTGGGTAGAAGCAACATATAGATGTATAATTTGATACATTTGACTTGATGTATGTAAAATTATGTTGAAATCTGCACAAAAGATCCAATACATAAAAGAGAAGGGATTGTAGGAAAATGCGTATGACACAACAAGTAAAGCTTCATTCTGAGCAGCACAACACAAAGAACAACTTAAACACATTTTATCATGCCAGGAAGAATGATTTGACCGTTCACTAATCTTAGAGGAGAGGGATGTGTATGTCATATGATTGGCTTAAAACTCTAAATTACTGTGACTTGACAGTATGAAGGAAAACGTTGCTGTATTTGCCTTTGATGAAGTAAGATTCAATTGCCAATCCAGCTGTACTATTTTGTGCCCAGAATAAAATAGCATATCATTTTATGCTTTGCCTCCTGAGCTTCTCTGCCACTACTTACTACTTATTCTTGGTGCCCATTCACTCCAAGTTTGCTTCGTAACTTATCTTTTTACAAGGAATTCTAAGAACATAAAATACAGATACATTTTTTATTTTAAACAAGATGCTATTTAACGCCTTCTGAGAGTCATACATTCTGAGAAGGATGACAGCTCTTCAAGCTACAGGAAAATCTGATACATAATTGTGTATTATATGTACTGTGCATGCAGTATCCAGAGACTGGAGAAATTATAGCTTCATAAATAAGCTGGGATTATAGGGAACCAAAAAGCAATTTTTTTTCTAGTCTGGATGAGGCAAAAACTAGTATGTTGTCTTGGCCAGGAACTAGACCATAAAATGAGAATATTCCATTCTGGGCAAAAAAAACAACCTCCTGAGAAGATGAGTTTTCAATTATTCGAGAGTATATTCTAGCTATAGGTGGTGGCTATATTACGCAATAGCTACTGACACAGCTTCATTTTTTTTAAGATCTTGCCCTGTCATAAAAAATGCTTATACTGGTATAAGGCAATTCCAATCTTACTAGAATATTGTGGAAAAGTTGGGGTTTGTTTGTTTGTTTTTTTGGAGAAAGGAAAATAATTTAAAGATTAAAAACAGCACTTAATTTGTCACAGAGCAATCACTATCCTTTCTCCAGTTAGACAATCAGCTATCTATATATCATAGCACAGGATGGTTTGGAGTATCCATAAAAAGAAGGTTGGATCTGTGCAAAAGTAGATGTCGTAATTCTACAAAAACCAGCACATACAGCCTGCATAAA